TAAATAAATAAAAAGCGAATTACACCCATCCCCAAAAGAAACCCATGCAGGGTTATCGGCAAGGTCACCAGGGAGATATCCCTGGGCGGGGTCTCCCAACACCCAAAGGGGACCACGTACCATCCTCTACCTCGGGCTGAGTCAGGGGGGTCTTTTCGGGCCTCTGCTGGCCATGTTCAGAGGTAGGGAGTTACCCACGGATCCGTTAGGCTTTTAGACCTCTTTGATCTACACACACGAAGGCAAGACACCAGGCCTCCACTTTCCCAAATGTTCGAGGCCACCAGGTCCCATCCGCACCCTCCCCCATGTGCCGTTTCCCAACTCACTCCGCTGGGGCCTCAGACTCTGCCTCTAGCCTGGCGTTTGCCCCGACCGCAGGCTGCCTGGGCTCCCTTCTCTGCCCCATGGCGTCTCTTACACACAGTTGGTCCTTGTGCGTCTGGTCTCTCCTCCTTGCTACCGTCTTCCCACTTTGGTGCCAACCCTCCCTCCCAAGGAAGTGTCCGCCACCACCTTGTCTTCCTTCTCCTCCCCTTGTCACCATCCTTGCTCTGACCCGTCAAGGTCACCAAAGTGTAACTGGTGGTGCAGGGAACAGCTTCTCACAAGGCATTTGGACTTTAAAAGTTTTTTGGTTTTTTTGGCATTCTTTTTTCTTGAAGTATAGTCAATAAAAAAGTTTTAAGACTTTTTAAAAATTGACTAAACATAGTTCACAATGTTGTGTCAGTTTCTGGTGCCCAGAATCATGTTTCAGCCATACGTATACACACAATATATTCGTTTTCATATTCTTTTTCGTTACAGGTTACTACACGACACTGAATATGGTGTCGTCAGCTCCATGGTGGTTTACTTAGAAAAAAGAGAAATTTCATGGTGAAATATCCAAGTCTGAACCATGAGATTTAATTTTTAAGTATATGTTCCCTGCATTTATACCCTAGTCATCTCATCAAGACAACCTCAAGCACAAGGATGTGCCTTCCTTGTCTTCCTCTTGCAGCTCCTCCCTTGCCTTGTCCAAGTCCCAGACACAGAAAAAACGCTTAATAAATACACAGCCATCAGGAGCTGTCTTCTGTATTCACACTTGTCCTTCTTCCAAAAGGTGATACTCTTCTTGTGGATGAGGAAATAAAGATACACAAAGAAAGGCCAGAGTTCCCAGAGCCCTTCGCTGCTAGAGTGGAAGCAGTGCCTCCTCCCTGGAGTGCAGGCTGAACCATGTTCTCAGTTTCTCTCTGAAGAACCACTCTGGGCGCAGAACAAAATCTGATGAACCTGCTTTAGCCTAAGACTTGACTTCCTTCTCCCCACCCATCCCACAAACCCCTCCATAAAATTACTGAATTTCTGAAGGAAACGGCATTCGATACGCTTAGTATAAACTTTAATAATGCCTGAGACTTTTTTCCGATCAAATATCCCAGGTGAGGAAGACCAATTTATAGACATGTAATTGCCTCTCAAATAATGTTTCTGAGATCAAAAGCACTTTAACCTTCTAAAGCACAAGAAAAAGAGAAAAAAACCTCTTACACATAAAATAACACATCATTTCCTAAACCAAGGGGGGCGGAAACCTCACGCACCTTTGCAGATGCCTGATTTGACAAGCCACAGCCAGAAGGGGCTTTTTTGGCTGATGAGTGAACAGCTGGGAGGAATCGTCCCAGAAGAGAAAGGTCTGTTCCTGTTGCCACGCCCAGCACGTAGCTTCCTGGGTAGTCACCCCGGACCCTCCCTGGTCCACCTCTTTTATCACGATCGGCGTCTCAGGCCAAACGTGCAGTTTGCAGCCTGGCCATACAAAAATCCAGGGAAAAGGACAATCAGACACTTGTGGGCAAAAAATATAGAAAGTAAATTAGAAATAAGGGGCCATCTCAACCCACAGGTATGAAACACTGTTAAATTACAGATGGCCCACAATTTCTCCATCAGCCCGAGCGTCTCACCCCACCTCCCTGCATCGTCCAAAGTTAACCTAACACGAGTGCCAGATCTGAGGCTTCTCAAATCCCGCTTTCTCTGAGCAAAGATGAGCAAGAAAGGAGAAGGCTGAAACTGGTCAAGAGGCTCCAGAAATGAATGAAGGTGTTGGAGCTTATAAATACCACATCCTAACACGGTCTAAGAGAGGCCTCTGCTGGTCAGACAGGAGGTGGGATGGAGGTGGGATTGTCCCATCTGTGGACACCTCCCTCCTCATGCAGGTGCCCTGCCACCGCCACTCTTGGAGATGCCAGTTTTGGGACCTGTCAGGCGTGGAGATCTCACAGCCCAGGACACACCTTACACACGGCCACATGGGGGCAGGTGGGCGTCCGCCTCCGTGATCTCACCTGAACTTCCCAACCAGCCCACGGAGTCAGGCAGCCCTCCACATCTCAGAGCCGAGAGAAGTGGAGTTCACAGGAACTGGAGGAGCTGTTAGAATTGGACCAATCCCTTTTGCTGGGGCTCTTCCCGCCCATTTGCTGGCCTCCCACGTGATAAGGTGGTTTTAGGGTTTGTTTTCTAAAGCCTCATAGAAAGAAACAAGAGCAAGAGATTAAATGCTCGGTGCAGAGCTGATGGTTATCGACATAGCTCCACCGACTTGAAACCTCATCTCTCAGCCTGCTGACACCACGGGCTGTGCAGAAAGCGAGGAGCCCCCCCCCCGGGAGGGAGGGGCGCTTCGGGGAGAGGGCCCCCCGCGACCCGGGAGGGGGACCCCGGGCCGCAGGCCACGCTGCACCGCTCCGTCCTTCGTGCTCACCTGTCTGGGAACGGAGACCTCTTACTGAAATCCAGTATTTGCATTTGACTTTTAATTTTCTGAATTCTCCATGAAAACTCCCTTCACGGGAGTTCAGCTTCTGAGAAGACTGCGTCACTTCTTTCGGCTCCGCCTTCTGCCGCTCGCGTCTCTTTCGGGTCGCAGCACAGGAAGGTGCGCGCTGTGACTGACAGGACGGAGGGAAAATACACATTCGTGTATTTCAAGTGGGGGCGAGGGGAGACATCTGTTTCCTTTCCAGGAAGCGTTTCTCCCACAGAACAAGGGAAAGGGCGCCACTGCCAGCCCAGCCCTGCCCTGGGGTGGGGGCGCTGAACTGGGGGTGGGGGGCACCCCATCCCCACGGCAGGAGGGATGCGGGGCAGGTCTGTGCCCGGGAAGCCAGGTGCCCTCACTGCAAAGTCCCACCCTCCTCCTCATTTCCTGCCGGAAACCAGATTCACACCCAGGAAGCTGGAAGTAGGTCCTCGCCAGAACAGTCGCGCTCTGTTAGTTCCGGAAAGGGGGCCTCTCCTGGGCGCAGTCTCGCCAATGCCCCCCTCGTCTTCTTCCTCGCGGGCCCGCCTCGGGGTTAGGGTGTCCGTCCACGCTGGGCCCCACAGCCAGCCCCCACCCCCGCCGGGCACCAGCCCGGGGAGACGTCGGGAAATCTAACCCGGGAGGCGAGACTTTCACGGCGCCCAGCCCGCCGCGCCCACCGCGCAAAGCCCGAACGGCTGGGCGCTTACGCCTGCCAAGGTCCTCCGTGGTCTGAAAGGCCCATATCTAAGAGACAGTCCCGAGCACGGGAGACTTGGGTCCAGGCCCCTGTCAGTGAGTTCTCCTCATCCCGGTCACCTCCTTTCTCTTCCCTGCAGCCCCAGGACGTCCGAGGACCCCAGCCAACAGCCATGCTTCGCCTTACTCCCCTGCGACCGGTTCCTTGGCCACTAAGGATATGTTAAGCCCCTCCCGTGGGGCAGGTACCCAGGAAACGTTTGCTGCCTGAGGCAAACGCTGGCCAGCTGTTGGCCCAAACCTTCCCTCCTTCTTCCTGCACAGTCATCCCTACTGTCTGCAGGGGGATTGGTTCCCAAATCCCTGGATGCTCAATTCCCTTACATAAAATGGCCTAATATTTGCACATAACCTGCCACATCCTCCTGTAAACCATCTCCGGATGACTTATAACACCTAATACAATGTAAATGCTAGGCAAATAGTTGTCTGCATGCAGCAAACTCAAGTTTTGCTTTGGGGGACTTTCTGTAATTTTTTCAAAAATACTTTAGATCCATGGTGGATTGACTCTGAGGCTGGAACCGGTGGATTCGGAGGGCTGGCTGTCTAACTAGGCCATCTTTTGTGGCCTCCTGAGCAGTCAGGTCCCAGCTCTGGCCGGCTGTGTGGTCCTCCTCCAGGCCTGGCCTTGGAACAGGTCTTGTCTTTGCCACAGAAATCTTGGCACCGCAGGCAGACGACGGTGCAGCCAGAGGATGGAAGGATCCCTGAACCGCCACCCAGAGGAATGCTGCCCATCAGTCAAGAAACTCCGTACTTTCACGAAGCTTCCGTGTGAAGTGTCTAAGACTGGAGTGAGCTGCTACACCAGGCGCAATCACCTTAACTCCCGCCGCCTCTGCCGCGGGCAGTGGGTGACTCAGGGACACCGGCCTATGAGCCCTCTTGCGTTCACCTCGTGTGCAGAAGATGTGAGAAGCAGGCTGGAGTCTTGAAAGCAGGATGGCAGCCACACCATCTTTTTATTTCACCTTTTGGATGCAGTCTCAGATTCCCTCTCCCCTTAAAACGACTAGAAAAGATCTTTAAAGGCTTCAACACCTAAGTTACAAACCAGGGGGTTTACAGTGTCCTGTGTGAGAGCAGAGACAAGGCGGTCACAGTTGAAGGCTGGGTTCCCTGGATGCCTTGGTCCTCTGTGTCACTAT